TATATATATATATATATATATATATATGAATGATTTGCAAATATTTTCTCTCATTCTGTGAAATATTTTGTTTTCCTGATTGCATTCTTCAGAGCACAAAAAGTTTCTGGTTAGTGAAATTCTACTTACCTATTGTATTTTTACATGCTTTATTATAGTTTTGATATAAAATTTAACAAATCATTGCTTAACTAATGTCACAATGACTCATGCCTGTTTTCCTTTAAAAAATCTGAAGTTTTAGCTTTCACATTTGATCCATTTTGAATTAATTTTTCTGTATGGTATGAGGTAGAGGTTCAACCTTTTTCCCTTGCATATGGATTCCCACTTGTTCAGCACCACTGTAAGGGTTACCCTTTTGCCACTGAATTGTATCTCTATTGAAATTCAATTGACATAATCAAAAGGGTTTATTTCTGAATTAGTGATTGCATCCTATTTATGTATCTGACCTTCTATCACTAGCACAGTTTTTATTACTTCCCAGGTTTGAAATAAGATTTTAAACCAGAGGTGTGATTATTTTAATTTGTGCTTCTTATACAAGATGGTTTGTCAATATTAAATGTCTTGAAATTCCACATGAATTTTAGGATTATCACGTCAATTTCTGCAAAAAAAAAATAGTGGAGATTTTTGACAAGGATGGTGCTGAAGTATATAAATTAATTTGAAGAATAATGTAATCTTGAATCATCAAGTTTACCAACACAAAACTTTCCTCTATTTGAATCTTAATTTCTTTCAATAAAATTTTTATAATTTTCTGTGTACAAACCTTCCATTTCTTTTGTTAAATCTATTCCTATTTTGTTCTTTTGATGTGATTGTAAATGGAACTGCTTTCTTAATTTCATTTTTAGCTTACTCACCAGTGAATATAGAAATGATTTTTTGTTTATTGATTTTGTATCTTGAAACACAGCTTATATCTTTTATCTTGACTCTTATCTTCAATCACGTTTGTGAGTGCATCTATGTGTGAATTCTTTGGGATTTTCTGTTCACAAGATTCTGTGATTCCTGAAAAGAGTTTTACTCCTCCCTTTCATCACCTTTTAAAAGCTAGATAAGGGAAAGTAGGGAGACAGATTTTTCCAAAGGGGAAGGGAATCAAATGCTGGAGGGAGGAGGGTGAGAAAGGCGGGAAGAGAGACGAAGAAGGGATTTTAGATGTGTTATGTATGTGTACCAACCACACATAGGAAACATAAACATTATGTACTACAAAGATGTACTAGTAAGTAAATAAAATTTTAAAAAGAAATTAAAGCTCCATTATAATGTTTCTTGAGATGACTATTCTCACCCTATTACTCTTCATAGAGGGAAAACCTTTTGTCTTCTACTATTAAGCATGATGCCAGTGGACAGTATCTACAGATGCCCTTTATGAGGCCAGAGAAGTTCACAGTTATTTCTAGTTTGTAGAATGTTTTTGTTTATTTTTCCTCATGAAAGATTTTAGTTTTTGCCAATTGTTGTTTCTGTGTTTAATGAAGTGATTATGTGTGGTATTTGCCTTTTATTGTATTAACATGGTAAACTACACTGATTGACTGCCAGATGTTAAATCAAGTACGTATTCCTAGGGTAAGTTCCATTTGGTCAGGATTCATAATCTTTTTATATTGTTTGATTCAGTTTGGCAGAATTTTACTGAGTAATTTTGTTCATTTTATACGTAATATTGGTGTGACCTTTCTTTTCTTAAATGATTTTCCTTGTGTATCAGGATACTACTGGCCCTTATAAAATGAGCTTGGAAGTAATTCTTCCTCCTTATTTTTTGGGGAAAAGGCCAAGCATACTTGTTGGTGATTCCTTTGTGAATGGTAAAAGTAACCAACAAAGCCATTTGGGCCTGGAATTTTCCTTACAGAAGTACTGTAAATATCTTTACTTGTTATAGGTCACGTCAGAGATTCCATTTTTTCTAGGATCAGTGTTAGCATTTTGTTTCTGTGGTGATTAATTCTATTTATCAATTTGATTGGGCCAAGGAATGCCCAAATTAAACATTATTTCTTGGTGAGTCTGTAAGCAGATTTCCAGATGAAGTTAAGGTTTGAGTTACAGGACTCTGTAAACCAAATGGTCCTTCCCAAAGTAAACTGGCATCATCCAACCCCGTGTGGTCCGAAATAGAAAAAAGGAGGAACTCGCACCTTTTGCTTCCTGCCTCCTGCTTTGGCTGAGATACTGTCCTGCTGTCCTTTAACTGGAATTTATTATTCCACTGGCTCCCTTGTTTCTCAGGCATTCAGACTTGGACCCAAATTACACCCCTGGATAATATCACCGCAGCTCAAAGGCCAAAGATCGTAGGACTGCAGGATTTCTTAACCTCTGTAATCATGTGAACCCACTGCTTATAATAAAATAATCCTTCCTTCCTCCTCCTCCTCCTTCTTCTTTATTCTTTCTTTCTCTCCCCCCTTCCTTTCCCCTCTCTCCCTTCCTTTCCCACTCTTCCTCTTTTTACTCTTATTATGTTTCTCTGGAGAACTCTTACAAAATTGTCTTTATCAGAATTTTTCCATTTATTTTGTTCAACATACAACTGTTCATAATATTCTCTTATCCTTTTGTTTTTGAAAGATTTACTGGTTTTTATTTCCTGATTTTTGAGTTGTCTCTATTTTTTACTTAGGAAAACATTTTATTGAGACTAGCTAAAGATAAGTTAATTTCATTGATTTCTTTTTTCAAAAACCAATTTTTGGTTTCACTGACTTTCCTTATTGTTTTTTTTTTTAATTTTCTTAATTATTTTTCCCTTCGATTTCCATTGTTTCTTTCATTTTCTTTGGTTTGGGTTTAGTTTGCTCTCCTTTTTCTATTTCTTTAAAATGTAGGGTTAGGTTACTAATTTGAGATTTTTCTTCTTTTCAATATAAATTTGCATAGTTATAAATTTCCCTTGAAGCACCACTTTAACTATGTCCCACAAGTTCTGATACTCTATTTCATCTTCATTCATCTCAAAACATTTTCTACTATCCTTTGCAGCATCTTCTTTGATCATCTGGTTACTTGGAAATACGTTGCTTTACCTTTCCTGAGTGTGAGCATAGCTTTGGGCAGTCATATAGCCCTTTACAAACCTGTAACCCTTCTGAGTCATAGAAATATGCTCGAGTTTTCAATGCCAACTATGGGATGGATTCTACCTCCTCAGGTTTTCCTTTTAAGTGAATTGCTCAACTTCTTATTTGCTCAACTACCTTAGGCAGCTGTGATGTTAAGTACTTTTTGCTAATTGACTTCTACACATGTAGGTAAATAGCTTGTAGTGGGCAAGGCCAACCAGGTGAAATTAATGCAGGTCCCTTGAATGGAGATGTAAACGTAACTGCCAGAGCAGTCGAATAATGCCAGTACTCTGAGCACTGTTAGGGATGCGGTGGGCCAGTGGGCACCTCCACCTTCCTCCTCCGATGTAACTGTGCGCTGGTTCACACTGTGACTGCGGAGCTGTGGGGTTTGAAGACCACCGTGGCATTGAAGAGGGTAATGAATATGTGGTGAGAAAAAATGCCATAAGTTTGCTGCTTTTGCCAAAATTCAGTTGTTTGTCTTAACTAAACAGTTTTTGGATTGTTATAAGCCTTTTATTACTTTCCAGGATTGAAAAGTTGATTTTGACCATTTTTGTCAATGTTTTTGTTGCTATTTTACACAGGAGTATATTTTGGGGAGATTTTTGCTCTGCTGTTCTTGATATCCAAACTCCTTAAAACTATGCATACCTAAGAAAGTCTAATATTTCTTTCCCACCTTCTGAAACATCATCCAGTGCACCCCACTTTAGAAGGATGCCAGTATAATGCCTCTCTCCAGAGCCAAGTGGGGTATTTATATACCTGAAGGTCATATACGTGGCATCACAGGGTTTAATGGCTCTCCAGGCTCTCCAGACCTCATGGGAGCACTACTCTCCCAGGTCAGTGGGACTGAAGCTCTTAGAATTATGCAGTGCTCCTTTATTCTCCTGCTCCCGAGGACTCGAGCTTTCCTCCACAGCCCTCCTTGTCCAAAACCAGCACTCCCTACCCCTGGGGTGCCACTAGTCCTTCTCTACCCTGTTTACCAACAGAAGCAAACCTTCGATAAATGCCCTTTTGGGGACTTCCACCATCTTGCGTCTCCTGGGTAAAAAACTAGTCATTTTCATGTGGCTGTTTTTATAATCTGGACCCAGCCTAACCTGGAAGTCAAACAAGCTGGTTCTGACTCCAGTGTGGAACACTTTGTACTTAATGGCGCAGGTTTCTGGAACATCACGGAGCAACTACCCTGTGCCAGACTTAGAGATAATCCCGAGAGGTATAGGTGACTAAAACTGAAGTTATAGCACATTGGATCAAGAGCTATGGAGGAGGATCATGGAGACATTTGAGAACGCAATTTTGAAAAGATGAAGAAAGTTAGAGAGGAAACATATTACTATGGGTTCCCCACACTTTATTTATCTACTTTTAGGAAAATATTCTCAAAGGTGAGCTGAATGTTAGTGGTGCTAAATGGTTCTGTAATAGGTTTCTCCACCAAACACAAAAAGTATCATAAAGACTCCAAGTTTCTGCATACAAAGGAGGACAATAATCAGTGACATCTTTAAAGCAGGAGTGACTCAAGCCTGCTCTCTAGGGCAGTGGAGGAGAATATGCAGAGAATACGCAAGTACAGTCTTTGTGAATTGCCTTACAAGTATTAGTTGTTATTATCAAAGCAACTATGTAAACAAATAGATAACAATTATGGAGTCACTCATTTTTATTACCTATGTATCCTAAGTCATTGTGTCTTCATTTGAACATTAGTTTGGGTAATTTAAAGAGTATTATCAATTTATCTCAGTAGAGCACTTTTGTGGGGAATCTTCTGTGAATAGTTCTATAATCATGATGTGAAAATATTAAGGATTACCGGTGTCTCATTTTCATAATAAAAAAAAAAAAACAACATGGAAGAAAAGTAAGACAGTTACTTACGCTCTGCTTTTAACTGTCCAAGGATGGAATTTTCTCCCCTGCACATGGTCCTGAAAGTATGTAAACAAATAATTATGCAGGTTTCAAAACAGTTCCAACCGCAATATCTGTGGTGAATAAAATTCTAGCCTAGGTAAACACAGGGCAAGTGCTTCTACAAGAAGATGATATGCACATTTTAAAAATCTAAAAAGAAAAATGAGTATCACTTATACAACTAGCACAACAAAGTAGCTGTTTTGAAGTGAGTAGAGGGACAAGTTATGAAATTGATGGTAGACTCTGGAACAAGAAACTAATTTTTTTTTTTGTCTTTTTCCTTTTTATCGGTACCAGGGATCGAACTCACGACTGCCTGCTTGCAAGGCAGGCGCTTATGCCGCTGAGCTAAATCTCCAGCCCCCAAGAAACTAATTTTTAAAAGATGGGTTATGAATGAGCTTTTCTTCTAACAAAATTTGGTGATAGCAAAGATAACTTTAGAATGCCTCAAGAGATAAGAATACTTCTAGAATCGTGTTTCTTTCTGAGATGAAAAAGGCAAACCCTTAACAGAGTAACTTAGGAATAGAGGAGACTATTATATTGGGTTGTCTCTATAGTCAGCGAACCCCTTTAAAAGTATAGGGTCAAGTGACTCTGCTAATGATTTGTTTCTCAAGACTCTTGATAATATTTGATGAATTCTAAAGACTAAAAAAACAAAAAGTCTATGCTCCATCTGTTTGCTCTATGAAAGTAATTAAAAATATAGTTATGTCTGGCAAACGCTGATGTTATTAAAGATGATGGCAGCAAGAGATGTTTTTTGCATAATAAAAGGTTATAGTTTGTGTTGCTGAACAAAAGCCAAGCATGTACTTCATTCAACTGGTTCGAGATCAAGAAAACAGTCATAGGAAATAATTATAACTGACAATATTCCAAGAATAATATTAGAATGGCAAATGAAGCAGGTAAAAACCAGTTAAAACATTATGTCAATGGACTTAAATACTTGAAAAGGTGTATGTGTCAAGTTATAAATTAGATAACTAGAAATGGGCAAATCTTCAATCCGAGTCTATAGATCAAAGCACAATAAAAGTTCTGTCATACCCTAGGAGAAACAAACAAGGAAAATGATTAGTTGAAACTCTGGGAGAAAGACAGGTACAAACTTGAAAAGTCATTCAGAAGCAAAAAGATTTTTTAAAAATTTCCGGAATCAGGCATGGCGGTGCATGCCTATAACCCCAGCACTCTGAAAAGCAGAGGTAGGAGGGTTGCACATTTGAGCCCAGCTTGGGTGACTTGGTGACTTAGTGAGACCCTATATTCCAATAATAAATAAAAAGGCCTAGAACTGTGGCTTAGTGTGAAGGCCCTGGGTTCAATATTCAGTGCTGAAAAGAAAACTTCCACCCCCATGTTGACTCAGACTGTACCTTCAGACTCTCTGGGGCTACTGCTGGGGAGCAGTGCAAGCAGGACTCCGAGCCCCGGTCCAATTGGACCAAGCCCCTGAGCCCTTCTCTGATTCATAAATGCGAGCACTATGTAAGATCCTATATTCCCCTTTCACCTCTCAAAAAGGTTTGAGTAGCAAAATAAGAAATCACAGGTGGTTTAAGAAAACAAGAGCTAGTGAAAGCAAGTCTTTTGGTCTGGGCTCTGCTCTGACTTAGCTCTTCTGTCTCGAGGCAGAGCTTGAAAACAGGAGTGGACTTGGTCTGGGCCTCACCACTCCCCTCCCTACTGCAAGGAGAAGTCCAGGGTGCCTTTCTGTCACCTTCTATACTGCCCACCTGGGGGCACCTCCCACCTTTTTGCCATGTGACTTGAAACTCAGGGAGACCCAAGTGTGGCTTGGTGAGAGAATATGTAACTTGAGTTTTTCAAATCCCAAGTATAGGGCTCACCACTTTTTCCAGAATTTTAACAAAGATGTAGCAGAGAAATTAAAGAAAATTTCATTTTCTAACTAAGGTTAATATTGCCAACCTTGGTAAAGAGTGCTATCTAAAGAATCGTAATAAAGCGCTGCGGTTTTGAAGATAAAAAATGCATTGTGGTAGCCATTGTTGATTCTCTGTTCTCTTGGTCTAAAATCCTGTATCACTTTCATTGTTTTGTTTCAACTGGTTTTATTCTGTTCCGTATTGTTTGAGTTTATTATGTTTGATGGTATGGACAGCTATTTTAAAGATAACATGAGGCATTATGGTAGCCATTGCTGATTTTCTACCTTGTTGTGAATTCCTGTACCACTTTCATTGTTTTATTTTTACTGGTTTTGTTGTTTCATTTTGTTTGGTTTTATTCTCTTTAAAATCAAATTTAAAAAAAGAATTGTAATAAAATACACTCATATCGTGTGTAAATAAATAATTGGTGTAAATAAATAATTGTTTACATACTTTCAGGACCAATAATTGATAAAATTAAATATTTTAGGTATTTAATTTTATCATAGAACATGGAAAGTTCAGCTACTACTTAGTGATTTAAAGACAAATTTTAACTGATATACATATGACAAAAAGCAAACATACAATGCAAATATTTTGATTCTTTTATACTTGCCATGTATCTTAAGCCCACTGCTTATGACTGTAAGCTCCATTTGAACTTTATCAATTAGTAAACAGGACAAGAGTTGAGAGTAAACTAAACAGAAATGTTCCTTTGTGCAATGCTCCACTGAACGGATGCGTAGACACGCCGTTCTCTTCCCCAGCTTGAGTGAAAGCTCAGAAAAGACTGTTTTGCATTTTGGCACCTGTAGTTGAAGTGCATAATGGCCTGCAGAGCATTTCCTCCTCCGGTTGAAATGTCTCCTTCAAATCCCGGCAGCAGGGGTATCACAACATACACCCGGTACCTCTGGCCTGCCCTGTGAAAGTCAGATGCACAGAAATTCATCAGAACAAAACAAAAAATGATAAAGCAACACTTAAAATGACTGCCAAGAAGTTCACATGGCTTTAAAGACACAGTGAATGGCTCTGTACAAAATACTCTCCCCTTCTTTGGTGCTTGGGGGTGCTATTGGGCTGAAGGCCAGGAGCTGCATCCAGGCTATCAATTCACAGCCTGAACAATGTGCTCAACTTGGCAGCACTAACTTTCTCTCTTCAGCATAGCCTTTGTAAAATAAAATTCAGTGTAAGAAAGCCTTCCTTAGCTCTCTAGAAAGTGGGGCCCTGGGAGTGGGTTATAACAGTTTTGAAAACAATGCCACCTTATTAGCTAGATATGTAATGTTATATCCGTAGTACCTAGCTGAGAGCCTGGCAAATAGCAGGCCTTCAATGTCTAGCTACTGGATAAATAGATTCCCACAGCCCAGATCTCCGGGCAAAAAGTAGTCACTTAAGTCTTTTCCAATATTCCAGTGTTTTTAGTCTTTAAGAATTCTGAGGTTTCAGCAGCAAAACGTTTCCTGAGGCTCTTCAAGAATTCAGAGTCACTAATTGTTAGTTTTAAATCCCCTACAAATGTAACACAGTATTTTTTGGCCCATTCTCCCAACTGACTAGTGACACCTATTGAAGGAAAAGGACTCTACTTAATGATACAATAACAGAAGAAAATATAGCCTCTATTTTGACATGCACTCAGAGACTCAGAAATGTGAATACTTGTGCTTTAATTAGTACACCTGAATTAAAGCCCTGAACTGTTGAAGTCCCTTTCTCCATTTATAAGACACACAGGAAGAGAAAGTTCAAAAATGAACATGGTGCCCTCGGCACTCAACAAATCTCACCAGGATGCCTGAGAGCTCTCTATTCACTTACTGCTTCATTTTCAAGTCTGACTCTGCCCCACATTCCCCAGACCCACATTGTTTCTTTCATGTGACTGCTATGACTACTTGGAGGATTCAGATTTCATTCCTGATGACCTGGGCCATCCATGTGTGTATCAGGGTGTGCAGAATGTGACATCAAGGGCAGAAGTGGCTGTCCTCAGCATGGGGTCTGGAGGTTGCGAGCCAGAGAAAGGAGAGATTTTAAGTAGCTTGTTGCAATGGCACGGATTAACCACTAGATGGCAAACACAGTTTGAGTTAGAAACAAACAAAAAGCAAATGCCCAAATTGGCTGTTAGATAAGATAAAAGGCCCAATCACTAAATGGTAAACGGGAGGGTGAAAGAGAACAGAAAGAATACTAAGCGATTTCCCCTCAGCCAGTTTAAAGGCCAAATGGGTTAAACTGGACATTTAGGAATGGTCACCACTTGGCTTCATCTGCCTTTCCAGAATCTTTTTCCATCTGATATGATCCTCCATATCCCCACACTAGCCATGGAGGATGAAGGCCTTTTGCTCAGAGGCACCTACCTATTAAAGAGCTACAGTCCACCAGCTGTCAGCCTGAGCACACCCCACTCTTACCCCTTCCCTTCAGCCACCTGAATCTTCAGTCAGTTTTGGGTCTTTCCAGCCCATGCACTGCACACACAGTACATACCAGGAAGTGTATCCGGCACCCTCTGCACTCTATGTGACAGTGATACCCACATCTGTGGCCAGCTATGGGATAAGCCCTCTGAAATGTTGGGAGGCTGTCCGCATAGCTTTCTATTTTGAGCAGTGCTAAGCTGAGAACTCTTGGTGGACAATGTACATTCGGGATTGCTCACTTTGGGAGGACAGGGCTGGGTGATGACAATGTCTGTTTGTGGGGAAGCCTCTGTTAAGAAGAGGGTAGGCTCCATGGAAATTTTTTCTTAAATTACATTTTGTTTGAATTTTTGTTGCAGGAAAAAGATTTAAATGATATCCAGTATTGGGGTATAGGAGTCATGCATGTAGTCCCAGTCTTCAGAGGGCTGAGACAGAAGGACAGCAAGTTTGGGGCTGCCAGGGCAACTTAGTGAGATCCTGTCTCATAAAACAACAGTTACAACAAAACAACAACAAACCAAACCACAACAAAACAAAACAAACAAAAACTTGCCACTTAATCCATTTTCAAGTATATAGTTCAGGACCACCAAATGCATTCACAAAGTTGTGCATCCACCAAGATTATTTCCAAAAGTTTCCCATCAGCCCAAACAGGAATTCTGTAACTATTAAATAATAATTATCTCATTTCCCTTCCCTGAAGCAATGCAAATCTCTATTTTCTGTCTTTAAGAATTTGCATCACAAATTTTCCTGTTGTGTATGGCTTATTTTACTTAGCATAACATTCTCAAGGTTCATTCACGTGGTAGTATGTCTCAAAATTCTTTTCCTCTCTAATGCTGAATGATACTCCACGCTACATAGATACTACATTTATTTGTTGATGGCTGCTTGGGTCATTTCCTCTTCTGGCCATTGTGAATAACATTACTGTTCTTGGCTTACAGTCTGAGTCCCAGTTCTCAGTTCTTTTATATATATATTCAACAATGGGATTGTTGGGTCATTCTTTGTTTAGTGTCTTGAGGATCCACCAAATAAATTACACTTTACAAGAGGTAACATATGCTCATAGTATAAAATTTAAGAGCCAAAGAAGACTGTGTCAGACACATCCAATCAACTCCTTGATTCAAGCCACACACGCTCAGCTGCACAGGTTCTTGTGGCCTCCTTAGCACGAGATCTCACAGCACTGGGGTTATGCAAATGGCAGCAATGAGATTGTGGGAAGGGCCTGAACTCCTACTGTGCAAAATTATTCATGGTATTAAAAGCAACATGAGGTGGCAGGCAATAAGTCACCAGTAACTGCCCAACAGACAGGCAATGACATTATCCACTTGTGTTCAGAACAACTTTATAAAACTGCATTCTCAAGTTTCTTATTAAGTTTTCTTTGAAAATTCATTAACTCTTATGGCAATGCTATGTTTGAAAGCTAAAAATCTGAAATAAATATCCAATAAAGGAAGAATGATTAACTAAATTACATTATAGCCCCCCAATGGAGTAACCACTTTGCACTCACTAAAAATGGCTAGTGTGACAACTCGGCAGCAAAATGCTTCTGACGCCAATAAAAAGGGGGCACAATGCAGAGATGTCATTAAACAACAAGACAAGGGTGGCAACTGATGTTAATAAATATGAAAGCATTTTTCCTTCAAATATATTAATATCCACCATCCTGTGCTTGATACCACATTCTGTGTTTGATACCCTATTGCTGCTGGGGTGGAACCTCACCAAAGATGTCAACCTTTCAGAGTTAAGAAACTAGAATAAAAAAAGAAAGAAAGAAATCAGAGTGAGATCCTCCTGCTGAGGCAGGAGGATAATAAAGCACGCGATGATGTAGGGATTTTTTTTTTTACGTAAACAGAGCTCCAGAAAAAAATCAGGACAGATCTCACTCCCTTTGAATGCTAAGCTATGAGAGACGTGATGAGCTGGGTCTCGTTTCTAGGCAGACTCCACAGTATGTGGAAAGTCGGTCCAGTCACCCACACGCTGGGGAGGCACCAGGAGAAAGTGCAGAAAGGCAACACTGAAAGCACAGGCTGGAATCCACACAAGCCACAGTGCTAAGATCTATAAGCCCCTCAAGACTCACGGCCCCAGATCATCGGTTATCAGGGCTGGAGATGAAGCACTTGACTGACAGAAGATACAACTGAAAGAATGAGAAACCACGGAATTGGGCCACATTTATCAGGAAATACCTAAACTATAGTGTCTTCTATTGGACTTGAACTAGAAGTTCATTGGAGTTACGGTGGGTGGAGTAACAATCCAATAGAAAGTAGAAATATGCATGAATAAAAAGGGAAATTGCAAGTTATTGTAAACCCAAATATCGAGTTCAGTCATCCAAGTATTATAATCCTCTTTCTAATCTTCCTCACAATCCAAAGATGTATTTTATAATCCTATTGAGACGTTATTGGAATCCCAGCTGGTCAACTCCAATCTACCATCACCAGTGCAATCCATGGCAAGAGTAAAGACACAAAGGCATATTCCAAGTTAAGGGCAGCCAAGGGGTCCTAAATCCAATCTTCATGAGGAGTGCGGACATAGGCCTCTCCCAGCATTTTTAATCTTGTGAAGAAAGGGAGGGGTCGCTCAGGGATGAGGGATAGTGAGGATGTCAGGGATTACTGAGTAACTTGAGCTGGCTGGCCAGGTGCAAGAATGGCAGCTCTATAATTTGCAGAGATAAAGATATGCAGAAGAATCAATTTACATAGCCCAATTAAGGTAACAGTAGAATTGTTTTGGGGGGCTAAGGCTTTGGTTTCTGACATGCAAACTCTTGTGCCCTGGGGAGTCACAGCCTCTTATCTTGAGGCTGTACCCAGTTGACATTCCTGGAGCTAACATCTAGCCAGCTCAATCCTGTATTGTGGAGAGTACCAAGCAAGGAAACAGAACTGTGTGATGGCTATAGATTTTGCACATTAGCACCTGGGCGAGCCTTATTTGCAATACTCAGAGCCAATGAAACAGGAGGCAATACCCTAGCCAGCCTTTACATATCAGTATAAGGAAATGAGTCTCCAAGTAGTCAAAGTCACAGCAATTATTTTGGATTCAAAGGGAGTCACTGAAGTTGTCTACCACACAAGTGACTTTAGGGTGGTTAGAGTGTAGCTTTTTACAATGAATAGTTTTGCAATTTGTGATTGCTGAGATGCTGCCTGCATCTTTAAATGCAGAGAACAATTCCTTGGGTAGATAGGTTCCTATTTTGATAGGCCTCAGCATCCTCTTGCTTTTTTCTCCTGCAGAGCCCTCCTTCTCCCCAACCTTGACCTTCCTGTGAGAGGGGGTGGTCTACTCATAATGAGGCAGGATCTATAAGAAAGTCCCAAGAAGCCTCAACATTTTCTCGAGTGTTAAGATACTTTGTTTTTTGAGAATTACAGGTCATATTTCATTACCATAAACTTCAAAAGTGTCTATAAATC